GATGCGTTGACATGATGCCGGTCAGGTCGAACTCCGCTGCGAACCCTTCTAGGGAGCACTGTAGATTGGTTTCAGAAGATGCCAATAAAACAAGGTCATCTGCAAACAGTAACCTTCCTTATCGTCTGCTCATCTCTTACACCGATACATTCATCACCTTGGCTGCTCCTGACAATTCTATTTATGTACAACACAAACAGGATAGGGGACAGGACGCAGCCTTGGCGGAGACCAGTGCAAACGTTGAAAGGCTTCGAATTAACGCAATTTGCTCTGACGCAGCAGCTGGTAACAGAATACAGTGAATTGTTCGCCCTTGACAGCTGGCCATCTATCCAGTATGCTTGCAGACAGGACCAGAGACTGCTGCGCGGGATCCGGTCATAAACTTTCTCTAGGTCAACAAAACCTATGTGTACCGGACGTGCGTATACCCACGATTTCTCGACAGTCTCGCACAGGGCAAATATGCCGCCAGAACTGCTTCGATCGGGCCAGAAGCCACACTGCTCTTCGTGTATCTTGGAATCTTTTATTCCGCGACAGTTTCGTTTTAACACTTTTATGTAGACTGTCTGGGAGGCTCAATAAAACAACGCTCGTATAACTGGAGCACTGCCTCTGGTCTCCCTTCTTGAACAGGGGTAAAATAATGAATGTTCTCAAATTCCCTGGTGTCTTCCCCATAGTAGCTGCAGTTTTAAAGGCACATATAAGTCTGTATTTGTCTTGTTCCGCTAGTGCGTTGAGTATTTCAAGGCGGATTTCATCAATTTCAGCTGCCTTTTCATTTTCAAGCTTTTCACAGCTTCTGTAATTTCATCTACATAGATAATAATATCTGTTCCCTGTTGGTCCATAAGCGAGTATTTCTGCGGTTGCTCGGCGTAAAGGAGTCACTCAAAATACTCTCTCAATCGCTGACGAATGCCTAATCCTTGGTAAGAGGGTGTCCAGACCTGACCTTCAAGACTCTAAGACTGCCCTTCTTTTCACCTCGGAGCCGGCGGATGGTCTGCCATAATTCTTTGTTTGCCGTATACAAATTCGACTCCAACAGCTCACCGAATCTCTCTTTGCAATTGGAGGTCTTACGGCACTGCTTTGGCTGCCGCCTTTCGTGCCTCGACATATCGCACGCGAGTAGAAGGCTCTTTTTCCAAGCCATTTCTTGAACGCTGCCTTCTTCTCTTGAACTGCCAGTTGTACTTCGTCATATCGATCGAACATAATGTTTCCCATTTGATCCCCTGGTTACTTCTGTCACCAGATTTTCGTATGTTATTACATTTGTTGAGAGTACCGTGCTAACAACAAAGTGATGACCGGCTGATAGCTCTGCGCCTCTCTTCGCTCGAACATCCATTAAAGAGCGTCTTAATCCAGACGATATGATATGATTATCAAATCGATCATCGATTTCGTACCAGGTATACTGGTGCACTCTTCGATGCTCCAAGAGGGTGATCATAATGGACAGTCCGTTGTTGGCACAAAAAAGTAACAACTTTATGCCGTTATTTTTAAAGTCGGTAGGACCATTTTTGCAGTCACGCCTTTCCATTTCTCAGCAGCTACTCTGATGTGCGCATTAAAATCGCCCAAATGCATGAGGGACTCTGTATTTGGCACTTCGGACAGAGCACACTGCACTTCCTCAAGGAAGGAATCATATTCTCCCTCTAAGTTGGGCGTATAGACCTGACCATAGTCACGCTTTAGCTTGTTGTAGCTTCAGTCGGAGGATTACCATTCTTCCGTTGACAGGCTTCCAGTTGATGATTTTATCTGCGAGGTCTGGTTCTACCAGAACACCAACTCCGGTTTGCGCTCCAGTCGTCATATCGATACCTGAGTAAAACAACTTCCACCCGCAGAGATTCTGGGTTTTGGTGCCTTCGCGCTTCTTTAACGAGAGTACAAGTTAGTCGAGTTGGTACCTTGCTGCCTCATCAACTGACTGATGCTCTTTCTCTCTGATAAGGATATATAGCTATTTAGGCTCTGACTTGCAGTTTCGTTCTCGTGAAGCCTTTTCTGACGTGCTGTAATAACGTCGCGTTGTCTGCTTCCTCCATTTCTAACGGGCAGCGACTCAGTTGTTGATTGTTATGTTTGTGATCGTTTTGTTGATCTTGGTCAGTATATGTCATGGATCTATTACCCCTGCTGTCAGAAGGTAGTGATTGCCCAGTTTTCATAGTTTGCTTCCGTCCCCTAACAGCTTGC